GATCCTTGAGAGTGCACACTTCTTAATTCGAACACAAATAACGATCTGCGCCGGAGCAGTGCTGCCAAAACGAATACTCGAAACGATCTGCGCCGGAGCAGTGCTGCTAAAGCGAATACTCCAAACGATCTGCACTAGAGCACATTTGTCAAACCGAACATGCTACTCCTGCTCTGGAGCACTCCGAGAGTGCTCCGGTGCAGATAACCGAATTCGCTATTACTTATTATACATATTATTATATGAGAGAAACTTGTCGAATGTATATTAACAAACCTGACAGCCAATTAGTCAAGGCGATAAAACAATTATTAATAAACAATTATTTACAGTTTTATGTTAATTTAACTTTTATCTCTTTATTCATTCGTTTCTTTTCTTTTTTTTTAAATTATTAATCATCTGTTTGCCAAGCTTTGTTAAGTGCTTTAATTTTTGTTTAAATTTCTCCAGATGTATACACAGAACAATAAACATCATAATTTGCAGCTCACTTACCTGCCTCCAACGTCAAAAAGAATAATGGTGCTAATGTGTATTTCTTTCTCTGTAAGCTTCTGATAAATTTTTCAAATTTCCATTAATTTTTGAATTTGCATCCAAAAAAAACTGATTTTCTTTTTGTAAATTTTCCCTTTGCTCGGATTTGATAGAAAATTTTCTTTCTTGTCATTTTCTTTACTTTAACTATTTTTTGTTTTTTGTTATAAATAATTTTAAATTTAGTTACAAAATGTTCTATCAATAATCAAAAAACAAAAATCAATTGGACTGATTAATTCGTCAAATTGTTTCAATTTTAAAAAGTAATATTGAAAATGGAAAACAGAAAATCGGATTTAAAATCTAGAATAAAATAAAAAATATATAAAATGTAAAATTAAAGAAATAAAAACAAGGAAAATTTCATTGAATGGAAATAAGAATAATTTTTTTTATTTGTCTGGCGAAATGAAAAATACCAGGGAAAAAAGGCAATGAACGCTTTTAGAGAATCGATATGGCATTAAAATTTTCCTCCTTGAAAAATCAGGATCCCGATGCTTCTGCATTCGATGAAAACGTGTGCATTATACTTTCAAAACCATTTGGAATATTCCCTCTGAATATCAATTCACTTTTCAGTATGTGGGTGCAAAAGCAGAAATTTTTTTTCTTTTTCTTTTTATACCTGTTTTTTTCTGGCAAGAGATAGATAGATAGATGGAGAATCTTAATCCTAAGTAGCATGCTTCTATACAAATTAAATATGAATTAAAGCATAATGTTATGATGAATTCTAAAATACAGTAATAATAAAGCAGAAAGCAACAGAACATATTGTTAGTTATCAACAGGCAAATGTTCAATATAGTGTGTGTTTTATTGAGGAAAAACTATATTTTTAACTACTTCACTGGAAAAATAGAAAGAAACTATATTTATATAATGTTTTTACTCTAAAGCTGCGTTTTTTATTTCGTGGTTGCTGAGCCAAAATTTTATCTCTAAAGAAACTTATAAATATAATTGAAAATAATTGTAAAACAATAGAGTAGAAATTATTTTTATTTTATAGTTTTTATTTATTTCCCTTTTTTAGTATCAATGAACTTAAAAATCAAAAATAATTAATAATAATAATAATAATAATAATAAAAATTATAATATAATAACAATAATAACAGTCATAATAAAATAATAATACTAATAATAAAAAGGCTAATCAATAAATTCTAATATTAATTATAAAATAATAAAAAAATATACAAATAGATAATTTACGGTTGCCACAAAAATTTAATTTTCTGTTTCCCTGACTTTTCCCTGATTTCCAGACAAAATTTTCACTTTTTCCCTGACCCTAAAGAATATTCTAATTCGCTCTAAAAATGATTAGGTACTCAAAAAACTGTTCTATTACATTTATTTACGAGTTTCTTTAATTGAAAAATTATTCGAAGACATCAATAACTTCTTTTTTAAATAAATATTTAATCATTATTATTTTTCCATAGGAAATAAGATTTTCAAAAATTTCAAAATTTAATTTCAAATTTCAAATTGTTACTGTAGCTTCCTCTAAATTATTTCCATCATTTCAATTCAATTACTTTCTAGAATTTTTAACTAAAATTCTTCTCTAAATCAATTATTTTTAATAATTTTTGAAAAAATTCTTTGAGAATTTTCAAATCCATTCGTTTATAATTTAATTTTACGAAAAAATGTTAAATTAAAATGTTAAATTTAATTTTTTTTAATTTTTTTTTTTTTTTTTTTTGTTTTTAATTTCGATTGTTCAGAAACTCTTCAATGAAATATATATTAAAAAATAAAAACTTTAAATAATTTCAAAAAAATTCAATTAAACTTTTTCAAACAAATTAAGTCCACAGAATTTTTAGTTAAATACACGGAGAGACCGAGATTACTAATTTTTGTATAAAATCACACTAGAATTTACTATATTCACATTGCAACCACCGGAAATAAGGGGACTTTTTGTATTTTTTACTATTTTCTACACTAAGTCACTAATCCCGACAAATGTTCACCAAATTAGCAAAGTTTCTTACTATTTCGTCCAATAGTTCCAAACAACTGTAGTAAAACTCAGAAACATTGTGTACGTAAAATTACTATAGTCGTTGTAAATGCAGAAAGAAAGAGTGAAAAGAAAAAATACGGATTTTTGTCGCCGGTTTCCCGTCAATTCTTGACTAGTGGAGGTAAACTGGAAGGATTTTTACATACACAGACACACACACTCACACACTTATATATTTGTTGTTGGATAAATATTTGAAGACACACACATGTTTATTTCACTTATATGTATAGACGCGGTTAATTAATACACTAATACACAACTGCACGCACGACAACGAATTTCACTGAAAGTATACATCTTTGTTTCCTTATATATTGAATGATGAAAATTTACAGCACTTACGAGAAAGCAGTTTACTTTTAACAACTTATTATAAGACATACTTCTTGGGACAGGAATAAATGCAAAATTTATTAATTTATAATGGTCAATTTCTGAGATACCGAACGACCTACGTTTCACTTTATATTTAATTATTGTAGATAATATCCAAATTTATTTTACATACGCGAAACATAGTCACTGTCAATGATCGGAAGGCATCGGCTCATTTACGGAGATTGACGAGGTTAGCAACCAATAGAAATACAGGCGCCATATGACTGCACTCGCTAGCCACACTTGCTCACCAAAAATTACTACAGTGGATCGTAGGTTTTAGTGGAAAATGTTTTCATTTGTCAGATTTTGTCTAATTAAATTAGAGAAAACTATAATCAATTTTTGCTACATTTACAACTCTTACACAAAATATTAAAACTTGCTATTTCAATGTAGCAAATTTATCTATTTCTTTTGTAAATTTATCTAATTCTGTAGTACATTATGCTAAAAGTCCCCTTATTTCCGGTCATTGCAACCGTTTTTAGTAATTTTTACGAATGTGGGTCTCTCCGTGTAAGTATGAAAAATTCAGGTTTTTAAAGATTTGAATTTGAAACCTTTTCAAAATTCAATTATTTCTAAAAATTCATGATATAATGCTTTTAATATTCAAATTATTTTCTATTTTATTAAAAAAACTTGTAAATAAATGAACTCCTGTGAAATTTTATTACTTTTTAAAATAGTTAATTATTTTGACGAAATTTAAAAAAAAAATAAAAATTATACTTTTTGAGGAATTCGATTAAAATTGTATTGAAAATAATTTAAATTCTGAAATAAGTTTTATTATTTATGAAAAAAATTGAATTTCTAAAAAGAAATTATTATTTATGAAAATAATTGAATCCCTGTAAAATTTGAATTATTAAAAATTTTCAAATATCTAAGTTCTTTAAAATTTTTAATTAAATTGATTGAAAATTGAAATTTTAAAAAATTTCAAATTAAAACCTTCTGAAGTTTATCTATTTATGAAAATTGTAATCGCAACTCTTTTAAAATTCAATTAATTTAGAAATATTTAAGTAAAATTATTCATTAAATAATTTCTAAGTAATAATTTTATTATGAAGAAGAAGAAGAATTAAGTTCTTGAAGAATTGAATTAATTAATTAATTAATTTCTTTTTAAATATAAAAAGAAATTATTGTCAGAAATAGAAAAAATTGAAGGTTTTGTATTAGAGTTCATGGTAATTTCACAATTTAAGAAGTAAACAAAAAAGACACAAAAATTCAGAATTTACTTATGAATTATAAAAATTTAATTTTTCCAGTACTTTAAATAAAAATCCTTGATTTTTTCCTGGCTTTTCCCTGACCTGTGGCAACCCTGTAATTCAAAAAATTTTAATTTTTTTAATTCTATTTTTAAATAAATAAGAAAATAAAAAACATACAGTTAAAAGTTATTCTTTCCGAATAATCACTTTCTAGACTAAAGAAAGTAAATCATAAAAAAATGAAATTAATATAATTAATAAAAAATACATTTAAAGCAACACAATTTGTGTACTAATAAAAAAATATTTTTCACCTATTAAATTTCCTTTGAGAGAAATGTTTTTGTTGCAATTTTACGATTCTATGCAATATTTCATCAATTTTTCAATTGTTTTCCAATTTTCAAAGGAAATTTAGTAAATAATGAAAAAATGGGTAAAGAAAAATAAAAAGAATTGTAATAAATAAAAATAAAAAATAGAAAGAATAAAATAAATAAAAAATAAATAAAACATCATAAATAAAAAAAAATAAAAATAGAAAGAATAAAAAAAATGTGTTATAAATAAAAATAATAAATAGAAAAATATAAATCTGTTAGAAAATAAAAGACGATTTTTTAATATTGAAAAAATTGTTCAAGCGTAAAAAAGCTTTTCGTTCTGAGAAAAAAAAATCATTTTGTCAAAAAAAAGAGACAAAATATTGGCTTTGCTTTTCCATGCGAATTGAAGCGTTTTTATTTTTTTTTAAATAAATAATGAGAAAATTTGCTGTTTTCTAAAATAATACTGACCATCTTGGTCTTCATGCAGAGTAGAATGCATTGAGTGGATGGAGTCCAACTTTCGCTTGATTCCCCTGCCGAGGGTATCCTTACCCTCGCACCTCATTGTGCTCACTGCACCTTCGGCTTGCTTCGTATAGATCTGTCAAATACAACTCAACTCAGGCACAAGCTTTTTACTATATAATTCGCATGCTTTTTAAGTTGTTTGAGCGTTTCTCATTTTCTCTCTCATTCTCTCACCATCTTTCTCTCCCTTTTTCTTCAATGGTCTCGATGAACCCTGCTTTTCATATCATTATTAATTCAATATTTTGCCTTGACTCACAGTTAAACGGAACGTGAAATCAAATTTTCTTCTATTCGAATCTACTTTAAAATGCTGAGATAATTTTATTTTTAAATACACAAAAAATAAATTCCAGGAAAAAAGAAAAAATGTGGATTTTTTTAAAATTAAAATTTAATATAATATATTTAATTCAATATGATTTTTCTAAAAACTATTAATTAAATCATTTTAAAAAATATTAATTAAATATTAATGAAAGCGACCTGTTCTGTCACAAATTTCTATTTAATTAACAATTTTTGTAAAAAAAACTATTTTATTTCTTATTTTCATAAAAAATAGAATTTTTTTTATCAAAATTCAAATCGAATCGAATGTAGTGTGAACTTCAATTTTACCGAATTTTTCATTCAGCAAAATTCTTATTTGCCAAAATTTATTATTATCTATTCATTTAATTAAAATAATTAAACTGTAGTTTCGTAATAATGAATTTTTATTCAATCAAATTTAATATTTCCATTAAGCAGAATTTCTATTAAGCCAATTTTTATTTTCAATTAAACATTCGATTAACATTAAATAATTAACGCTTTTTTCCTTTTAAGCTAATTTTTAATAAACAGAATTTCTATTCTGGACAATTTGAATTTAACACTATTTCCTTTTAAGCTAAATTGTTATTTAACAAAATTTCTACTAGGGTCAATTTTAATGTTGCAGTATTTCTTTTTAAGTTAAATTTTTATTTATTAAAATTTCTTTTTAATTGTCTTTTTATTTAGCTAATTCTGATATTTTACAGAATTATTGATAACCTATATTCAGTTAAATATGATAGTTTCGCTAAATGACTGAATTTTTGTCGAGAAGAATTTTTTCTTTTTGGGCCGTACACATAATACGTCACGCGATTTTTGACCATTTTAGACCCCCCCTCCCCCATGTCACACACTGTCCCATACATTAGTGCCATTTTTTCTATAGGTCGTCACAAATGTCTTGACCCCCCTCCCCCTGTTCGCGTGACGTATTATGTGTACGGCCCCTTGGAAAGTATTTTTTTTTCATTGACAAAATTTTTATTTAATCGAATTCACCAGAATCCGAATTCAATAAGATTTTATTTTTACAGGATTTTTAATCAGCAAAATTTTTATTTAATCGACTTTCAGAATTTTCATTTGGCCGCATTTTTGGTTAGCGAAACATTGTAATTGAACTAAATTTCTATTGAACCGAATTTTCAGTAGGTAAGTAAAATTCTCATTTAGGTAACAAAATTTTTATTTAACCAACTTCAGAATTTCCATTTTTCTGAATTTTTTGGCAGAAAAATTGTCAGTGAACTGAATTTCTATTGATTTGAACTGTCAATAAGGAAAACTTTTTTTTATTTGAAATGTTTCTTAACTAGATAATTGTTTAATTGAATTTTAAAAGACCAATTTTACATTTCTTAAAATTTTAGTTCAATTATTATTTTTTAAAATAAAAGTTTAAAGTATTATTTTTTAGTATTACTTAGTATTAAGTAAATTATTATTTAGTATCCAGAGCTTTTTATTATTTTAAAAACGTTTCTAACAAAAAGAAAATAATTTATTTAGAAAAATTTTTATAAATTAATTCTTTCATTACAGTTTTTATTTCATTTTCAAGAATTTTTTTTATTTTTGAAAATTTTGCAGAAAGTAATTAAACAAGAAAACGATTAAATATCAATTTTGTCGAAAATTTTTCGAAAAAAAAGTTTTGATTGTTAATTATTCAGCAAAACATTCAATTATCATTTTAATAATTTGTTAAATTTAAACTCAGTTCAGTGACAATTTTGTTTATAAAGAATTTAATTAAGTCAAAAATTAACTTTTGATTTTGAAAAAAAAATATAAAAATCAAAATTTAGTGATTTGGTTTTTTTTAAATAGAAATTCTTGCAATTAGAAATTTTTCTCCTTTAATTTAATTGAATAAAAATTCTACGAATGTAAAAGTTTCAAAAAATTAGTTTTTATTCTTTTTAGTTAAAAAAAATCCACAGAGGGAAAAAATTGCCATTAAAAATTTTATTAAATAAATATTTACGATGAAAACAAAAATTTCTAAATTATAAATCTTCTAGTAGTTTAATTAACATTTAGTATTATTATAATATTAAATTATATATTTATTATTAACATTTAATTAATATTACTTTTTCTAGTAGTTCAATTAAGTGGAAAAATAAACATTTGTTTTGAACACGGAAAAAATAAGTTCAGCAGATTTTACGAAACTAATTTCGCACTAGCGGATATTTAAGATTCCTAGACGAAGTTTTTCAAAAACCCAGAAACTTTCACTACTTTAAGCAGAACAATTGTCGAGAAACTGCAACCAGTGTTGTAATTTATAAAACAAGCTTGAATGTAGAAATGTTTCGTATTTTCTGGTGAACATTTTATCAGAAAATGGTAAAAATGTTTCGTGCAATCTAAAAACGCGTGGTTTGAGTTTCCACTTCGCTGTCTATCGTGAATTCTCGAACACAAAGTTTCGTAAAATTCTATACGGGGTGTACCAAAAGTCGCGTTATAAATAGATATGTTGAAGCTTGTCTCGTCGCGTCGGTATTAACTTGTCTGCTGTATATAGATATAATATGTGGAAGGAAAAAGAGAACTGCTTTACCTGCCGGTAACATTTGGATAATTGTTTTCTTTTACGTATTTCACATTTCATTGTTCCAAATTCGTAACATTTTTTATGTGCTTTTGTAATCCAAACTTTTAATTATTATTAATTTCTTTTAATTTACAGTCCAATAAATTTTATAGTTTATCATAATATTTACCGATGACAATATATATATTAATTTCTCAAGTTTTAACTGTTATTACTTCAAATTTTAGACAATTTAATATAAACATTTTTTGAGTTTGAATTTAATTTTAAAAATTTTTTGTCAATTTATTTATAATTTAAAATTAAGAATAAAATTATTTTCTAAAAATTGAAAAATTTTATAGAGATTTTATAACTAATTATAATCAAAAAATGTTATTTTAAAAACCATAAAATATTTTGTATAACTTTTAAAAAAATGATTTTTTTAAAAATTAATATTCAGTATATTGACATTTCTCACAAGCGCAGTTTTAATCTCCTTAGTTAGTATATAAAGAAACTCAATTCTTTCATCTACAAGTGCGAGTTATATTGTATGTGCGTTGCGTCAGAATTCGTTTATATGTATGCGTATTTCCGTTAAGTTAGTGTCAGAATAAAATAAGCCAATCCAAGCGAACCATTGCGTTGTAGAGTGCAGTCACATGTGTCGAACCAATCATCTATCTCCTATAGAAGACGAGAAAAAATGGTCTTGAGAGCTCATTGGGTACATTAAGAAATTCTTTTTTCTGCTTTATTCGTTTTTTTCTCCGTGAATATTTTTTTCCGTGGCGCATGCGCTTCAGGCTAAACATTTTACAAAACTCTTGAATTAGAACGTCCAACCGATCATTTGTGAATTCCATAGAATTTTTTTTGAGTTTTCGAGAAACGCAGTCATCATATATTACTATTGATTCTGTTTTATCTTATACTAAACTCCTCTCCGTATCCGCTATTCCAAAATTAGTTTCGTAAAATGTACTAAATTAATTTTTTCCGTGAAGTAAATTAAAAAAAATATAATCATGCCTCAATAATACAAACAACAAAACTTTAGTAAAAAATTGAAAAAAAATTTGAATTCTCCTTCGTTTAACTTCTTTTTGATCTGGTCAGCAAATTACGTATTTCATGCAACTCGAAATTTCAAAAAGTCTCAACAAATTTTCAAACTCTGATTACTCATGCTCATGGCAAGGATATTTAGAAATCGATATAATTAAGAATCATTATCAGAAGGATAATCTTCAGCAAAGAATTTATTAATTTTTTTTCTCTTTATAATTAAATTTCGAATTCAGCATCTAATACACTAATGTCGTCACGAATTACATTTATTGCAATGTATACGTTTTTTTTAAATAATGATAAAAGTAATAATAATAATTATTGTGTAAAATATTTACCACGCGTTTTAAAACGTAAATAGCGAATAATAATAATAAGTACAAATTAATTACAAACTTAATATATGTATAAACACGTGAAAAACATGGTTTTTTTCGTAGTATTTTTTTAACTGGGATTATTATGCAGGCATCACTGGACTCAATTTGGTTAGGCCTTGTCCGATTAATTTCAGTTTTTCTAATTTTTGATAAATGAACGAATTGGAAAGGAAAAAGTGAAATTAATCGGCAATTTTTTTAGCGAAGAAAACGTTAATCCTCCGAAGAGGATTCGCTGTCTTCGTAATTATCGCCTTGATCGACATAGGCAATATTATTGTAAACGTAAGAATTGAAATTGTCAGTTTGGTAATCAACGACAGCAATTTCATTAGAGTCAGAACGATAATTGTAGAGATGGGGATAGAGTTCGGGTGTTGCTATTTCAATACTGACAACTTTTTGATTAACTGGATGATCAGAATAATAAGGAGTATTATCGTAATTTTGTGTTTCGAAAATTTTATGATTTGGCTCATTGGAATTCAATTGAATTTGTTGATCAATTTGCTCATCGGTTTGATTTGGTGGATTAGGTGAAGGAGGATTATGATGATGATGATGATGGTGGTGATGGTGAACGGTGAGGTATTCATGATCTGACAATAATGTTTGCTGTCGGTACAAATCGGGAACGTACTGGTGATTACTATAAATAATAGGTTGATAATTTTGCCCTAATGGCAACGAATTATTATCACCAATCTCCAATGAGATTTCATCCCCGATTTCTTTACTGGTATTTAGTTGTTCCTCCTGAGGTGAATGATCCATTGTGTCTGAATATGTGGAATGATTTGGTGATGATGTGTCCATATGCTCTTGTGAGTCAACATAAGTGTTTTCAGGGTGTGTCGTATCGGCTTGCTGATGATTCATATCTATGAGAGTTAGTTGATGGGTGCCCTGTTCTACTTCGCTACCAACCTGGATCCCAGTGGTTACTGTTGACTCGACGTAAGTCTTTCTCTGATGTCCACCTTGATTCAATCGAATTTCCTTTGTCGCTGAGCCTTGAATTCGCCACTCGTCAGTCAGCATTGCCCCATCGCCGGAATCTGGTTCACTGCTCGATACACAATGTACCATTGGCTGAAATTTATATTTCTTTCTGTTAAATTTCCCCTCCACTTCAAATCATTTGGAAAATAAGTTTTTAAAATAAAATACAAAATTAATATTTTCATATATGAAGATTGTCAGATTTTCATTTTTCTCCTAACCCAAAAAAAATATTCTGATTCACTCCCCAATGGGAAGTAAACGATTGGTTCAATAATGGGCCATGCTTGGCGAACTTCGTTCCATTATTGGAACATTAATGGCAACCATCATTGGACCACCAATGGTTTAAACTTGGGATGATCACGCTACTGCCAATGATCAGTAGTCAAGCATCGGGCCAATATTAGTTGCCAAGGAATTGCCAAGGAAACAAAATCGATTTTCAAAAGCTTGATTTTTTATTGGCAGCCAACAAAAAACCAAGGTTTTGAAAATTGATTTTTTAAAATTATTAATTAAAATTTATTTTAAAAAAATATTTTTTTTTTAAATTAATAAAACATATTAATTTAATTTTTCACCTCTGGTAAAACAAAGGTGAAAGACTGATAAAAATTTCCTTACCGTATCTCACAGTGGAGGGATAACTGTGAATGTCTTTGCGAGAGAGGAGCAGGTACTTATAGAGCCAGTGTAACAGGTCACAAGCGAGAAGAAATCACTAGCATGCACTCTGGTGGCGCTTGTCGGAAGTGGCGCAACGTTGGTTGCCAAGCGCTGTGTCGATAATGTCAGGATATGCATGCGCGCCAGAAAACAGTTCCGACAATCGCCGCCAGAGTGCATGCTAGTGATTTCTTCTCGCTTGTGACCTGTTACACTGGCTCTATAAGTACCTGCTCCACTCTTGCAAAGACATTCACAGTTATCCCTCCACTGTGAGATACGGTGAGGGAATTTTTATCAGTCTTTCACCTTTGTTTTACCAGAGGTGAAAAATTTAATTAATATGTTCTATTAATTTAAAAAAATATATATTATTGAAAAATATATTTTTTTTAAATAAATTTTTTAAAAATATTTTTTTAAAAATAAATTTTTGAAAAATATATTTTTTAAAAATAAATTTTAATTAATAATTTAAAAAAATCAATTTTCAAAACCTTGGTTTTTTGTTGGTTGTCAATAAAAAATGAAGCTTTTGAAAATCGATTTTGTTTCCTTGGCAATTCCTTGGCAACTAATATTGGCCCGATGCTTGGCTACCGATCATTGGCAGTAGCGTGATCATCCCAAGTTTAAACCATTGGTGGTCCAATGATGGTTGCCAATTGTTTTGCCAAGAAAAAATCATTGGGCACCAAGCATGGCCCATTATTGAACCAATCGTTACCATTGGCAACTTCCCGTTGGGTCTCGAAATTATTAGAAACTAAAAAAAAATGTTTAAATACTTTTATATTGCGAATTTCTTTAATTGTAACGAACACTTTTTAACTCCCTAAGTAAAATAAAAGAGGTGAAATTAGTGCCATTTTCATCTCTAAAATCTTCTAATAATCGACGCCAACTTTTCAAGGATGTTAATTATAAAATCATTCAAAAACACTTCTTTTTTAAATAAATATATTCAATCATTATTATTTTTCCATATGAATTAAGATTTTCAAAAATCTTTAATTATTTTAAACCTTTTGAAATTTTATAATTTATAAAAAATTGCTACTGTAACTTTTTCAAAATTTTTTTTTATAATTTCAATTTAATTTTCTGGAATTTTTAATTACAATTCTTTACAGAAACTAAGTACCTCTTTTTAAATTTTTTTTATCATTGTTATTGGAAAGCTGAGATTTTTTTTAATAATTTATGTAAGAGTATATTGTGCAACAAGTGCAGAAAGAAGCACTTTCGTACGTGTTGCACACAGTACTTTGTGCAACACCTATTTACCAAAAAAAGTAATTTTTATACTTTTCTAATCAATAAATATAGTTTTATGTTGATTATAGTGTATATTATATTGCAAAAAGAGGTGTCTTGGGTGGAGACGTTTTTGGTGTCTTAGACACCAAAAATGTCTTAAACCAAGACGCTTTTGGTGTCTAAGACACCAAAAATGTCTCCAATCAAGACACCTCTTTTTGCAATATACTGTTTACAGAAAAGTGTGCAGGAAAGTACACTTTCCTGCACACTTTTAAATGAGCAGAAATTGACCACTTTGTGCTGCATTTATGTTAAAGGAAAGTAGCTCTTTTCCAGCAGGTGTTGTACAAAATTAATTAAAAATATTAAAAATCCATATTTTCAAATATTTTAAATTGAAATCTTTTCAAAATTCAATTATTCCTAAAAAATGCTATTATTTGTAACTTATCCGAAATTCAATTATTTTTTATAGAGTTTTTAACTAAAATTCTTCTCTAAATCAATTCATTTTAATAACTTTCAAAAAAATTCTTCTCTAAGGAAATTATGTTTAATAATATTCAGAGAATTATAAATATTATTCATCGGTCGCTCTTCATTGCGACCCGGTAGTGAATTCATATCGGCAATGAAGGTAAGAAAGTCCCTGTTATCAACAGAAATTTGTTTCTATTTTGTGCAATGTCGTGTTTAATGTAAATGCCTATTTACCCCCGGATTTTTATAACTTGCTATAAAAAGTAAGAAATAAGGCAAAACTTTTAAAATATAAGTGTTGCCAACAATAGTTAGGCAGGAAAGATTTGGTGTTTAGAGGGAAGGGGAGAGAACGCCCGACGAAAGGAAGAAGAAAAGTGGGGATCGCCTTCTTGTGACGAGCCAGTTTGGGTTCAATGACCTTAAATATTTTTGACACCCAGAAGGGTTTGTTCATGTGAATTCGAACCTTTTGTGAAATAATAAAACCTCGTTTTCTTTCTAATTTAATTTCAGTTAGTGTTATTCATTCATTATCATAATCACCTGTTATTTTCCCGGCTTAATACTTGTGTGTGTTACAAAATGGTGGAGACGCCGGGTAACAGGTAAACAATAGTGATAGTGCAATTTTCGTAGTGACATCCTCTATGAGGACTCGCAATCGTGGTTGCGATGGTAGGGGGAGAGGTGAAGTGTCACCGCTTGCAAGAGGACGTAGTCGCGATAGAGAACAGCAGGAAGAGAAGATGCCGCCTGCGAGGAAGCGTGGCCGCCCGAGAAAGATACCGCAGGAAGGAGACGGAGACTTGAGGAGAAATGTAAACAATGACGCCAGGGATCGTAATAGCGATAATGAAACGAACAGGTCAGACCCAAACATTGACAACAATAGAAACAGAGAGAATCGTAGACGCAGGTCAGGCAGTAGACAGACTGAAGAAGAAAATAATATGTTCGAGCAAAATCAAAATAATACCGGAGATCTACGAAATTTTATTAGAATGAGAAGAAATGGGAGAGAGTATCAGGAAAATGCGGCAGCTGAAAACAATCCTGGAAATGAAGACATCTACAGTGATGATTCTTCCCAATCGGCAACGAGGGGTTCCATGACTCAAAGTGAAAGAATAAATAACATGGAAAGACGTAGAAACGAATTGGAATATCAAGCTTCGCAAGAAATTTACGAAATACAGCAGAAAGCCATCAGGGAAAGAGAAGCTTTGGAAATTCAAAGGGTTCATCAACGCTTGAGATCAAATGGAGGGGACATTGTCAAATTTGCGACTAAAGTAAAAAACTGTGTCTCAGCGATAAAGGCTGCAAATAATAATTATTGGTTATTTACACAGTCCGGAACTCACCAGAGAAATAACCAGCAAAATGCCCCCTTCAATGGTGTATCTTTATAATAGATTTATGTATCAAGAGGAGAACTATAACGAACCTTCGTTGATTACCTTATCCAAATTTCTTTTCCTGGAAGCCAAGATGGCATGCAGGGGCGGAACAAATGATATATATGCCGAATCTGCTCAACAATCGATAAATGAACCAAAGGCAGGAACATCCAGAGGACGTCAGGGGAATTCATTTAATAAAAATAACCACCGAGATCAATTAAAAAAAAAAATTCGCCCTTACTACAACTGGCGAATCTCAAGATGAAACAAGTCCCGCGAAAAAACAAAAAGAAATGGCAGTCGAGATTAAAACAGTTGACGTGGCATGCAGCTATTGTAACAGCGTAGAACACAAAACCAATCAGTGTGAAGGACTAACGCGAATTTCGGCTGATAAACGGATGGAATGGGTGATGTCCAAGAAGGTATGTTTCAGGTGTCTGGACTCCAATCATTTCAATAGAGATTGCAGATCTGCCGTCTGTGGATATCGAGGATGCAAAAGAAGTCACCATCCCTTACTCCATGAAGCCTTTCGTTCGATGAATCAACGAAAACCAACCGAAACACGTGCAGGTGGACAGGAGGATTATAATGATAGATCCTGACAAACTCTTTTAAAAATTACGCCTGTCAGAATATATGGACCGAAGGGAAGTTTAACCACTCACGCGATGCTGGATGATGGTGCTACAGTGAAGTTAATCAAACAAAGTATTGCTGACAAAATCTGAGCACTCGGGGTTCAAACTACTCTACATTTACAAGCAATAAAGGGATTGGAGATTCATGAGATCGCCAGCCGAAGAGTTGATTTTAAGATTAGTGAAGTGACTGAAAATAAAAGACTTGATATAAGGGGCGCGAGAACTGTTAAAAATCTAATTCTTCCATCACAAAGCTTAACTGAAGATCAAATAGAAAGTCACGATCATTTACGAAATTTGGATGTTAAGTTCTACAAAACTGCTGTACCCAGACTGTTGATAGGACAAGATCATTCTCACATAATTACTCCATGTGAAATTCGCACATCTACAATAAAAGAACCAGTTGCTTCACTTACTCCTCTCAGATGGATTATTCATGGGAATTTAGTTCAGACACAAATGAGACAAGTAAACTGTGCCACGGTAACAACGAAAAAGAAAACATCCAATGTTTATAAAAATGAGGCAAGAGACAACGAACTGATCTCGTTGGTAAAAGGAAGTTTCGATATTGAAGCTATTGGAGTATCGATAAAAAACAGGCGAAATTTGGAGGATGAAC